AATAAATAAATAAATAAATAAATAAATAAATAAATAAAATGTTTAAAAAGAGAGAAAAAGAAAAGGCAACTGCCAAATGCAGTAGTACAGTTTAGCTTTTACAAGAAGACTATATTAAAGTAGCAGCCATTAACAGGAATAGGCAGTTTCATTGTTCTGGCATAATAAAAGATGGCATGCTGTTTTCTAAGAGTAGCCAACATGGTTTGTTGCTTACTGTTGCTGTTCTAGACAGAAGTGGGGAACTTTATTATACACTGAATAACATGACTTTTTTTTCCCCATTTCCAAATTGTCTAAAACAAACAGGTTTCTAAGGTGCTATTGGGAGCTCATGCACTCCTGGCCAATGGATCTGTGATGTCACGGGTAGGAACAGCTCAGTTGGCCCTGGTGGCTCGAGCTCATAACGTTCCAGTACTGGTCTGCTGTGAAACATACAAGTTCTGTGAACGTGTGCAGACTGATGCCTTTGTCTCCAACGAGCTAGGTAAGCAGACCAGACGGAGGCTTTGGGGACCTGAGGAAACTTGAGACAGGGAGGAGAGATTATCCATGTCTTCTTTTCTAAAAGGATGTTGACACCCCCTTGTCATTGCAGATGACCCTGATGATCTCCAGTGTAAGCGGGGAGACCGGGTGGCCCTGGCTAACTGGCAGAACCACCCATCACTCCGGTTGTTGAATCTGGTCTATGACGTGACTCCCCCTGAGCTTGTGGATCTGGTGATCACAGAGTTGGGCATGATTCCTTGCAGTTCTGTGCCGGTCGTCCTTCGAGTCAAGAGCAGTGACCAATGAAAGGGAACAAGCGTCAATAAAAAACTTACTCCCTACTCCCATAACTCTGCTGCCTTTGTATCTTTGAGCATCTCTACCTCTTGGGTCAGGAACCCACTCTGTGACCTTCACCACTGACTTGAACTTCTCTATGGAACTCCTTCTAAGGTGGTTAGCTCCAGGCCAGTACTTTGGAGCAAGATAGTTTGGGTAGGCATCAAACCTATTCATAGGCTAGGCATGGTAGCACTCCCAGAATTCTCCTTTAATCCTAACAAGGGTAGCCAGTCTCTGCAAAATTAAAGGCCAGCCTGTCTACATGTGAATTCCAAGACAGCTAGGGTTACAGAGTGAGACCTTGTTTCAAAAACAACTACTGCACTTGGAGAGATGGCTCATTGGTTAAGAGCTGTTTTTCCAGAGGACTTGTGTTAGATACCCAGCACCTATATGGTGGCTCACCCCCATCTATAACTCTAATCTCAGGATATCTGTTGCCCTCCTCTGACCTCAGGCACCAGGCCTGCTTGTAATACACATACGCACAGACAAAATACACATAATAGCTGGGCATGCTGACATTTGCCTTTAATCCCAGCACTCGGTAGGCGAAGGCAATTAGATCTCCCAAGTTTGAGGCCAGCCTGATCTGTACCAAAAATTCCAGGATTACATAAAGAAACTCTGTCTCAAGTAAAAACCTAAATAAATATAATTAAAAATAAAAACACTTTTAAACAAAAAGCTATTCATGTCTTGAGTCATTAGTTCTAGTATTTTGTGTAGTACCTGAGACAGGAATGAGGAAGAATATAAATATAACTCATAACTAGACATAGTGGGTCTTTATCCCCAGTGCTCAGATGCAGATGCAGAAAGACCAAGTCAGGGTTTCTATGTGTATCCCTGGCTGTCATAGAACTCACACTAAAAACCAGGATGACCTGCCTCTGCTTCCTGAATGCTGGAATTAAGGCTTGCACCACCATACTCAGCTCGAAATTGGCATTTATGTCAGAAATGGTTGTGCCCTTTTCATTTACTTAAGATAACAGTTTATCAGAACTTAAATCAGGATGTGGTCACAAGCATCCTGAATCCATATCATCCTTAAGATTTTCATTTTGGGCTGGAGAGATGGCTCAGATCTTAAGAGAACTGACTGCTCTTCCAGAGATCCTGAGTTCAATTCCCAGCAACCACATGGTGTCTCACCACTGTCTATAATGGGATCTGCCCTCTTCTGGTGTGTCTGAAGACAACTACAGTGTCCTCATATACATAAAATAATAAATCTTTTAAAAAAGATTTTCATTTTGGGGGCAGTTTTTTATGTAACCTACAGCTGCTGTCAGATGACCTTGAGATAAAGTGGAAACACATCTTCAATCAAGAAGCAGGGGTGGGTCTCTGTAGTCTGAGGCCAGCCTAAACTACATAGTGAATCCCTGTCTCAAAACAAAACACTCACCAATAGGTTGTAGTGGCACAAGCCTTTACCTTTAATCCCAGCACTCAGAAGGGAGAGGCAGGCAGATCTTAGAGTTCAAGGCCAGCCTGGTCTACAGAGCAAGTTCCAGGGCACCCAGGGTTACACAGAGACACCTCCTCCCACCCTCCAACAAAAAAGGATGACTGAATTTGCTGGGCGGTAGTGGTGCATGCCTTTGATCCCAGTACTTGGGAGGCAGAGGCAGGCGGATTTCTGAGTTCGAGGCCAGCCTGGTCTACAGAGTGAGTTCCAGGACAGCCTGGGCTATACAGAGAAACCCTGTCTCGAAAAACCAAAA